CGATTTATGAAAATAAATTTGTTTTCGTTCGTTATCTCGAGTGTGGCCAAGACGATATTATAATATTATACAATTATCCGAAAGGGATACGAAGGAGCAGTCCTAGGCACTTGGCATTCCGGATGGCTCATCTCCGTCCGTGCGTGTTTAGTATGAATCGTACAAGTACTAAACAGTAGTAGGTACGCCTCCTCAGTGCCTCACCATGTTATATTGCTGCATTAAATAATCATTACACTTTAATCCAATTCGGACGAAATGTTCGTACCACCGACCACCGGATTATACGCGTTTATTATTATCATCTACCATCATCGCGAGCATTCAGTTGTGCCTAACAGTGGCGGCGGCGGCGGTCTTTAATCATATTTAGGACAGACGCGTTCGTTGATAAATTCTCGAGGCGTTTGGATTTCCTTATCAATCGTGATGGGTATAATATATGGACGTGCAGTTGTGGATTCCGGTACAACACCGTATATATAAAATATATATGTATAGGTATGTATTTATATTATTGTATTTCGTATACATATATATATATATATATATATATACACCAAACGGGTGTTGAATAATTCCGTCTGTCCCATTTAAATACAATTCGAGGCTTCCCGTTTAAATTATACCAAAATGGCGGATTCAATTAGTCTTAATTTTCAAGGTCCCTGCATTATAATATTATATTGTTGTATGGCCGTAACATAGCAGCAGCACGACGTATAGTATTGTGTAGGCTCGTATACGACGACGACGATGATGATGATTATGATAATAATATAATATAATATTATTATATGTGCACCGCGCCGACTCCGTCTGTCGGACTTTTACGCTGCCCGTACGTCTATATATATAGGAATGCCTTTACCATCCACAATAATATATATACGTGTATATTATCATCATATAGGCATTATATTATATTATTATGTCCTTTCACTCTGCCGGAGATGTTGTCGCAGTCTCAGAGAAAACTGTCCTCGATAAGCAGCTGCTATAGTTCGATGGCACATTTATTAGAAAGCCATCGATTCCGTTTTTTTTTTCTAAAACAAACAGCCCATCGGTTGGGCAGTAGGTATCAGCAGTTATTTTCTCACGCATTATGATATCGTGTATGATATTAGGTTTCCCATAGATACCCGCATATAAATCGTGTGGATTTCAAACTCGATAGATCGTGCCAATTTTTTTCTTACTGTTCACAAGTAAAAATTCGTCCATCTTTTGTCAAAACGGTAATTTTGTAATTATAATCATACCATCATTCATCATCGTCGATCGTTTTCGCATAATCGCATGTAGCATTATTTTTGCTATTAGTTTTAGTATAGAAAACAAGTGTTCGCTTGACATCAAACGTTTCATCGCCATTTTGATATTGTTGTATCTGTTCAAAATCTCTAATACACCCCGACGATCGTTTTTTAAAATAATTATTATTAAAATATGTTAGAATTTACGGTTGTTATTATTAATTCGTGTACAACGAAATACATATACAATAATTATTGTAATTAATATTACTATACACATGTTTTTCATTACGACATTTTACAATGATTCACTGGTATTCTTATAACGATGTTTGAATCAGTTAAAATATTATACATATAATAGTGCCAACAGCTACTAAGCATCTGATGATCAATCACTCACTAGTTCATTTTCRTTCAGTCCTTTCAATAATAGTATGGTTTTTTTTGGTCAGTCGTTTTACCATAATATTTCATACATATTATGTATAAAGTGGGGCCTAGGAAAAAGAAGGTTTAGGGTTATGTCCTTCTCCATTGTCCAATAAATCCTATCATGCAGTTATAGGTACGTGTCTTTGGTGCTATCACAATTCATTTTAATGTTATTTATTATAATTTATAGAATACCCCCCCTCCATTTAAAATGTATGAGCATGGCACTGTGAAAATTTATATATTAATGTACATATAATTTTTTTGAATTTTAAATAGAAGTAGCAAAAAGCAAAAACAATATCAATGAAAATATGTGCAAATTGATRATGGATGGTGTTGCGTACTCCGGTGGAAAACGGCTCCAGGGCAGTGAATAAACTAGGCACCATTACTAATATTATCTTTAAGGAAATACAAAGTATACACATATTATTGTGGGGACCCTGAGATCTAGGATCCCGATTAATCCCCCATTTTGACCCACTATAACTACACCACTGAATTGTTTGTTAAAAAATAATATGTCAAATCCGTTGACGTCTTTTAGACACTGCAGGTACTGTAAGTAGCAACTTAATTTAAAGCATTATCCAAACGTATAAGGTCATTGTTAATGGTTTCCGCTCCTAAAGTAACCCTTTTAAAATATGTTGTTTGCTAATCAAAAAAGTTGTCAATACCTATTGTATTATTAGGTTAGCGCCGGTCTATAGGAACTTTTGAGCCTTGCGTTTTTCAAAATCAATTTATTTTAATTGTATACAACTGCGTATGGGTATGATAAAATATGTATTTATGTGTATATTTATCGTTTGTTATATAAAAAAAAATTATCACAAATTCACAAACATTTTTTCGTCGATTAAACGTCGATACATTTTTCGATGGGAAAATAATAGCTAGGAGGCAAGGTTGGATAATATGGTAGTATTTAAAWGTTTCTGTTTTACACACACAAATAAAGTGCAACAAAAATAACTGTCATTGTAATAATCGGACAATATTATTGTAATAAATTTTATTAGAATAAACTATTTAAAATTAAATTACTAKTGTTAATCATATAAGTAGTATTTTAAATCAAAATTCAAATATTAATAACAACACAATATATTACGGACCTAGTTGATTAATATTACATTTTGYAGTCGATCCTGTCACAGTCTGTAATTAAAACAAAATATGATGAGTTCATTATTTTTTAAACAAAAAGTGTAAGATTCTACCCCATAAATCTTTGGTGAAACATAAAGATATAACTAATAGCAAAAGAAAGTTTAAGATATTATGCGTAGATTTTAAATGATGGTGATTTATAAACTATAGAACATTTGAATGTATTTATATTCAAAATAATGGCTAATGATTAGTAATTGGTATCTTATGTAATAATATAATATTTTGGTTTTCTATAAATTATGAATAATACGAGTAGGTAATTAAATTGTAATTGTTCCCCATTCGGTATACTTGAAGTATTAAATAGATCCCTATAATATTGTGCTAAAATAGTACTGCAGTGACAGAATAATAATATTATAATAATTAATATAACAATATGGATTATGGATCGATTATACTATTTTATCAATCTTCGTATAAACGAATAGTAGTAGGTATATACTATATCGTTTAATTTACTATTAATTAATAATTGTGTGATATGTGTTTATATTATATGAAGGGTAAGGTTAGCCAATTATTTTCATTGAAGACAATCAATGAATAAAATCTAAATGAACCGTTCCGTTTTAATATGAGCGTTCACGCTGCAATTAAAACATATAGCCATCAAAGTTAAATTACTTAAAGTGAATTTGAATTGGTTAATTCCAAGTAACAATTTAGAAAATATTACATCTTAATCTACATCAGCAATTTGAATTTCCTCAATCAACAGTTTAGATTTTTAATTTTTTTTTTTTTTTAGTATATAATATATATGTATATATAATTGTTTATTTATTGTATATATTTTATCAATTATTTTATTAACGGATACAATTTAAGCGTAAATAAAATATTTTTAATTAATGTCAATCAATTGTTACAACAGTTATCAAAACTTATAGTTATTATTGATAATTATAACTATCGATTTATTTACTCACGGCAATTAATTTTACTATCGTAATTTCACAAAATTATAATTTAATTTTAATAATTATAGTTCWGACCCATTTCTTAACTGTATAAAAACTCTACTTAACTGTAAAAGTGATAAATTGAAAAGAACAATTATTTTATTATTACGTCTCAAAAGAGTTTTGCCTTGTCATATAATTCATAAAATGTTCATATTTTTTCACTAAAAATGTTACCATAGAAAATCAGTTTAAGGGTTTAAACTKATTGTCAGGCACCTTATATTAAGCAACTTCTCAATTATTTTTTGTAAGCACAGCCATGTTTAACAGGTAAATGTATAATATTTATGATTATACAATACTATCATAAATAAATTTATGAGTTGTTGAGTCATATCACTTTATGACTTGCCATATAAACGATTTTTTTTTTTATTTCAAAAAACTAATACGTTGGACTATTATTTTTTACCAAACTATATAATAACGTCGTCAATTGATCTTTGACATTTATTATTTCAAATATCTAATTACAATGTAAAAAATCAAACAAGATGAATATATTTTTGTATTCAAATTTCACGTTTTTCAATTTTGATTAATTCGTAACATTTATGCCTTATATACGTATGTTAGGCATCGCGTATTAAAAACATTTAATTTACTTACACGGTTCTTATRATATGCATATTAATATATTATTATACAATATAGATTGCTCTATGATATTCATGCCAAATGTTTAATTCTCGCCGGTAGACAATAGTAGTTGTATAGCTGTCGGAAGTTGTATCTCAATATGAACCATCTTCATCAACAACTTGTGTGGTAAACCGAAAAACCACCGACACCGAGCAGAATCGCCATGCTGGTAGTCGTCTCCGAAATCGAAATTCGAAAACAATGAGCGTATTGTAGTAAAAAACATAATATTTTTGATATATATTGTTTTACACGTGATATTCAATATGCACGAAACCTTATACGTTGTACACGTGTTTTGAATCATTTCAGTGGGGGTACTATATTAATATTTTGCACGMACAGAGTTTGTGTGCATTCGAATTAGACATGTTGCTTGATCATTTTGTCATCGCATCTGTTAAAAAACTAATATGCCTTGATCGTTTTATTTATAACTAATAAATAATATAATTTTAAAAATAATAATAATTATTTATTATTGTTGTTGTTATTAATTTGTGTACGACGAAATTTCAGTTTATTCAAATTTTTTTTATCAATATTATTAATTTATAGTTACATTGTTCATGTTTGGTTCATTGATTTTACTTTATGTTAACGAATACAGAGGTTCTCGCTGAATGTCACGTAAGACATTCGCTCAAGATCACCGCGCTGTACCGTAAATCAATCAACTAAGTTCAAATGAAATACAAGTTCAAGTAATTGTTGTTTGTTTGTATGTAATTTCTGCATGAAAATCATAATCGCATAAATCTTTTWAAAAAAAAAATCCACCATAATATAATWTTAAAATTGTATTTTTGACTCGTTATCGTGCATGCCACAATTAAATTACTAATACATTAGGTGGTAAGTAATGTTTATAAATCTATTATCTATACCTATTCAATTAAATATCGGTTATTCTCACGTAATAACATATATTTTTTCTTTATATTAATTAGCAATATTTACAATCTATTTGTTATTAGGTAAACTAGCAATTTTTATACACACATAATATATACCTATTATACAATAAAAATATATAATATATACACAA